GTGCAGCCCCGCGGCGACGCACGAGCGAGGAGGCTTCCCCGCCTCCTCACACTCAACAGACTGGGGCCTCCCGGTGGCAATCACGGTCCCGCCTCCCAGCTGGGACTCCCAGCCGCTCCCGCGCCCCCACCAAGCTTCTGTCCGGTGCGCAGCCGGAACAATCAGAAATACCGCACATTGCACGCGTCCGGTAGCCTCTCGTTTGTTTTCCTGGGCAGAGCGCGCCAATACCAGACTGCCTGGTACAATGCCGGACACCTGGCAACCCTACTCCTACTCTTCACGGTCCCGCCTCCCAGCTGGGACTCCCAGCCGCTCCCGCGCCCCCACCAAGCTTCTGTCCGGTGCGCAGCCGGAACAATCAGAAATACCGCACATTGCACGCGTCCGGTAGCCTCTCGTTTGTTTTCCTGGGCAGAGCGCGCCAATACCAGACTGCCTGGTACAATGCCGGACACCTGGCAACCCTACTCCTACTCTGCCAGCGCAAGGCCCTGCCCCTCCCCGCTCCCCAACGCAGGTGGGCGGGAGAGCAGCGCCCTGCCTGGGTTCTGGCTGCCCAGGGCTCCCACACAGAGCCAGGGGGGTGTCCATGGCTCCCTACAGCACCCTCAGGACTCTTATTCCCCCAGCTGGGCCATGGAAAGAGCTGCCCAGGCAGCTGGTGGAAGCCATGGACCCTCCATGTGCCCTGGAGGGGAAGTCTGGGGGCAGAGTCATGGGCAGGGGGCTGTTCTCAGCCCCCCTCGCCCTAGGCAGGAGGAGGGTCCGAGGCTCCCCACACTTGCCTGAGCGGGGCTCCAGCTTCTGCACGGGGAAAGGGGAGAGCCTCAGCACATTCATAACATCCTAGAACTGGCAGGGACCTCGAGAGGCATCGAGTCCAGTCCCCTGCCCTCACGGCAGGACCAAGCACCATCCAGACCATCCCTGGCAGTGTCTGTCCAACCTGCCCTTCAATATCTCCAGAGATGGGGATTCCACCACCTCCTAGGCAATTTATCCCAGTGTTTATCCACCCGGACAGGCAGGAAGTGTTTCCTAACGTCCAACCTAAACCTCCCTTGCTGCAGTTTAAGCCCATTGCTTCTTGTTCTATCCTCAGAGGCCAAGGGGAACAATTTGTCTCTCTCCTCCTTGTGACACCCTTTTAGATACTTGAAACCTGCTCTCATGTCCCCCCTCAATCTTCTCCTTTCCAGACTAAAGTCCCATTCTTTCAGTCTTCCCTCATAGCTCGAGTTCTCTAGACCTTTCATTGTTTTTGTTGCTCTTCTCTGGACCTTCTCCAATTTCTTCTCATCTTTCTTGAAATGCGGTACCCAGCACCGGACACAGTACTCCAACTGAGGCCTGATCAGCGCTGAGTAGAGCGGAAGAATGACTTCTCGTGTCTTGATCTCAACACACCTGTTAATGCATCCCACAATCATGTTTGCTTTTTTTGCAACAGCATCACATTGTTGACTTCTATTTAGCTTGTGGTCCACTCTGATCCCTAGATCCCTTTCTGCACTGCTCCTTCCTAGACAGTCGCTTCCCAGTCTGTGTGTGAGACACGGATTGTTCCTTCCTAAGTGGAGCACTTTGCATATGTCCTTATTCAACTTCATCCTGTTGACCTCAGACCATTTCTCCAGTTTGTCCAGATCATTTTGAATTATGACCCTAACCTCCAAAGCACTTGCAACCCCTCCCAGGTTGGGATCATCTGCACATTTAATAACCGTACTCTCTATGCTGATATCTAAATCGTTGATGAAGATATTGAACAGAACCGGTCCCAAAACAGACCCCTGCGGAACCCCACTAGTTATGCCCTTCCAGCATGACTGAACCGTTAATAACTTTCTGAGAACGGTTATCCAGCCAGTTACGCACCCACCTTATAGTAGCCCCATCTAGGTTGGATTTCCCTAGTTTTACTGATAAGAAGATCATGCGATACTGTATCAAATGCCTCACTAAAGTCTAGGTAAACCACCTCCACACCTTCTCCCTTATCCACAAGACTCGTTATCCTATCAAAGGAAGCTATCAGATTGGTTTGACACAATTTGTTCTTTACAAACCCATGTTGGCTGTTACCTGTCACCCTATTATCCTCCAGGTGTTTGCAGATAAATTCTTTAATTACTTGCTCCATTACCTTCCTTGGCACAGAAGTTAAACTGACGGGTCTGTAGTTTCCTGGGTTGTTCTTACTTCCATTTTATAGATGGGTGCTAGATTTGCCCTTCTGGAATCTCTCCTGACTTCCATGACTTTTCAGAGATGATCGCTAAAGGCTCAGCTACCTCCTTTCAGCTTCTGGAGTTTTCTAGGTGCATTTCATCAGGCCCTGGGGACTTGCAGACTTTTCTACATAATTTTTCACTTTCTAGTACCCTTGCCCCGCAACCCTGGTTCCTTTCCCCTAAGCTGACCACCTGGCTGCTCCTTTCTCCCCCTGCCCAGGCCTTCCTGCCCTTGCTGAAGAAGGCTGCCCAGGAGAGCCCCCGGACAGGGCTGAGCTGCAGCCGGGCGGCCATTGTCAACATGTCCAGCGAGGCCGGCTCCATCCAGAACATCTTTCTCTGGCATTTGGGGCAAGCCGTCTCCTATCGCTGCAGCAAGGTACAGGGCACGCGCCGCAGGGCCTGAATTCTGCCAGCTCTCTGCTTGCACAGACGTGCAGCCCGCTGCTTTGCCCAGCCCTTCTAGCCTCCCCGCGGTGCCGGGCCGGCTGCTGTTCGGCTGTCGGGAATCCCCGTCGGCTCCATGCCGAGTTCCCATCCAGCGGGGACCTTTCCACGGCACCTGTATCCCGTCCAGGAAATCCCCGTCCGGGGCCGGGCGTCAGTCTCGGGGGGTGGAGCTATTAGTTCTGGCCCTTCCAAGGGACAAAGCCCCCCAGTTCAGAGAGCAAGGGCCCAGCTCCTCAGCCGCCCCCGGGATGAAACTGGAGGGGGAACAAAGGCGAATTGATGCCTCATTTCACTCTCCCCACCCGCCCTGCCCCTGCAGGACCCAGAGCAGCCTCGGCACTGCTCTACATTGCAGTCTCGGGGGGTGGAGCTATTAGTTCTGGCCCTTCCAAGGGACAAAGCCCCCCAGTTCAGAGAGCAAGGGCCCAGCTCCTCAGCCGCCCCCGGGATGAAACTGGAGGGGGAACAAAGGCGAATTGATGCCTCATTTCACTCTCCCCACCCGCCCTGCCCCTGCAGGACCCAGAGCAGCCTCGGCACTGCTCTACATTGTGCTCAGCTGAGACAGCCCTGCGACCGCTCAGTAGCAGTGGCTCTTCGGAGTACAGCTACAGCCCCTTCTCCACGCCCTGCCTGAGAGCACCCGGCTGGCTGCATGGAGAGCCTCTGACTGCAGCTCTGCCCCGGTCCTCACCCCTTTTCCGGCTCCCTCGGGACCTGGGGTCACTTCCTGCAGGGCCCTGCCCTCCCCCAGTTGCTGCGGCTTCTGCTCATGGTGTCTCCCCGCAGGCAGCGCTGAACATGCTCACCAAGTGCCAGGCCTTGGCGCACGGCGGGGACGGGATCCTGAGCGTGGCTCTCCACCCGGGCTGGGTGCAGACGGACATGGGGAGTAGAGCCTCCCTCAAGGTAGGCACCTGCGGGGCGACGCAGGGCAGATGCTCATCGCAGGGCTCACGGCTCCGCTGGAAACTGCCGTCCCCTCCAGCTCTACCTGGTCCAGAGCGGGAGGGTCCCAGTGACTCTGTCATCAGACCCCGGGGCTCAGCTCTGTCCTGGGCACTGAAACTCCTGTTTGCTACCTGCCCCCTGTGCATGGCCAGCGCGAGGGGTGGGCGTGTGCTGGCACACTCGCCCCACGGCCCACGCAGCGCGGCGACGTGGGGGCAGCAGGAGCACAGAAGAGCAGCCACCGCCTCACCTGCGCCAGGGCGAGAGACGGTCACGGGGCACCACGAGCCCCCAGGCACAGGTGGTGGTACCCGCACACACGTCTCTGTCCCTTCCACACTGTAGGGA